ACAGCTGATTCAAATAACCAAGTCATCATCAACCTTTGATTATTTGAATCAGCTGTGTAGTCCTAAGGCAAAAACCAAAACGTGCACCCAGGGGGGGCCCCAGGACCGAGTTTGGGAAACCCTGGTCTACCGTATCAAAAGCTTTGGCCAAGTCAATAAAAATAGCAGCACAACATTGCTTAGAATCAAGGGCATTGGTTCCATCATTTAGGAGCTTGCAGTGACACATCCATAACCTGAGCGGAAACCAGATTGCATACCAGAGAGAATACTATAGACATCAAGAAAGCCAGTCAGTTGATTATTGACAAGTTTTTCCAACACTTTTGACAAACAGGGAAACATAGAAATTGGCCTATAGCAGTTAGGATCAGCTTGATCTCCCCCTTTAAATAAAGGATGCGCCGTGGCTGCCTTCCAAGCAATGGGAACCTCCCCAGAGAGGAGAGACAGGCTCGGCGATGATAGGGGCTGCAACCTTAATGAAGAAAGGATCTTTTTTGGGGGTCAAGTTTAAGGACTTCCTTTAGCACTTCAGACTCAGTGACCGCCTGCAGGGGGAAACTTTGTAGTGGGGCAGGGGGGAAAAGAGGGTGGAGCATCGGGGCTTGTCGCATTAGAAGGGCTGGGAGATGAGGAAATGTTGGACGGGCAAGGAGGCATGGCTGAGTCAAATAGGAATCCTGATTTAATTAAGTGGTGATTTAAAGAGCTCAGCCATGTGCTCCTTGTCAGTAACAACCACATCATCAACATTAAGGGACATGGGCAGCTGTGAGGAGGAGGGTTTATTCTCCAGGTCTTTCACCGTTTTCCAGAACTTCTTGGGGTTAGACCCACAGAGAGAGAACTGCTCCTTAAAGTAACTAACTTTAGCCTTCCGGATAGCCTGAGTGCACTTATTTCTAATTTGCCTGAACGACAGCCAGTCAGCCTGAGTATGCGTGTGCCGAGCCTTTTGCCAAATGGAATTCCTGAGGTGGAGTAACTCTGCAAGATCACGGTCGAACCAGGGGCTGAACCTGTTTAAATTCTCATTTCTTTATGGGGGCGTGTTTGTTAACAATATCACTGAAAATATCGAAAAAGAAGGTCCAAGCGTCTTCGACAGAGGGGATCAAGCTGATTCTATACCAATTTACAGAGGCCAGGTCATGAAGGAAGGCTTGCTCATTAAAGTTTTTTTGCAAGCGACTATGACAAATCAGGACAGGTCATTTAACTGAGCAGCCATTACGAACACAGGCTGTAAAACAGTGATCACTAAGGTCATTACAGAAAACCAGAGCACAAGTCAGGATTGGGGCTAGCAACAGTAGATTGGCCAGGGTGTACATGCTCATTTCCAGATATCATCAGCAGTAATACAATCAGGGCACAGCAGAGGACAGGGAGAGCTCTACAGTGTTGATTTTTTATGACATTTGAATGTGCATCAGATGGAAACAAATCATATTGTACGGCAATTTCATCAGGTAACATGGATACAAAGCCGGCGAGAGGTGGTTAGAATAGGATGGGAGGCCAAGAGTCTGTGTAACCAATAGAGAGTCAGAGTCGGGAGTGTGGGAACAAACATTGTCTGTCCCACAGTTAGGTAAACAAGCAAGTTCATAGTCAACAAAGCACGCAGGTGTCATATGGCAAATAGCATAAAGCACAAGAAAAAAGTAAAACGACTTGGGGCTAGCCATTGTAAGTTCAAAGAGTCACTCGCCCCAACAAGAAAACTTGAGAGAGTAGCTCTCGATGAGTCCAGTAGGCTATAAAAGTCTGAGATAAAATAAATAAATAGTAGTCCTATGCTAGTTAATTAAAGTGTTTCTGAGTAAGCTCACATAATAAGCCTCACAAGTGAATAAGCCTACATAAAATTCAGATCAGTCCAAAGTCTGCGGTGTGTGTGTATGTGTGTGTGTGCTGGAGGCGAGCGAAAGCTCGGGAGAGAGGGGGGAGTGTAGGGGGGGGGTACCTGTACCAGACTGTGAACAGATCGCCAGGTGGGATTCAAGCAGCAGTGCAGCAGGTAAAGGGAGTAGGTGTCACACCCACTTGGAAGAAGCTTTTTTAGGGAGGCTGATTAGGAGAGGAGGCGTTCAACCTTACCAGAAAGGTGTGGTAGAGCAGATAAAATCATCCGAAGTGAAAAGCTTGTTGAAAAACTGTGGTCAAGTTGGCTTGAGTTTCGATATGGGCCAGACATTCGGGCCATCAAACATCAATAGCTCGGATTTCCCTGCTCCAGAGTCCAATGGTGGCAAAACTAAACATCCGGAGGACCTATCATCCTTTCACTCCCCTCCTCTCTACCTTCGCTTTCCTCTGTATCTGCTGCTAAAACCACTTTCTATCCCTCTAAATTTAAAGCTTCTGCATCTAACCCTAGAAAACTATTTTCCACCTTCTCCTCCCTCCTTAATCCTCCACCCCCTCCCCCTCGTTCCTCCCTCTCTGCGGACAACTTTTCTCATTCACTCAGCCTATTGAGTCCACTGGTCCCACTCACGCAGAACTACCCTACGCCTTGACCACTTTCTTCCCTTTCTGTCCAGATGACATTTTGTACTTTTTTTTTTATATATATATTTTTGGTCATTTATCCAGAGCGACTTACAGGAGCAATTAGGGTTAAGTGCCTTGAGACCTTTCGGTTACTGGCCCAACGCTCTTAACCACTAGGCTGCCCAACAACCTGCCCGCTCGACCCCATCCAGATCATCTCTGGAGACGTTCTCCCATTCTTTACTTCCCTCATCAACTGGCCAATGGCTGCGTCCCTTCTGACTTCAAAATGGCCAGATTCGCTTCCCTCCTCAAGAAACCAGCGCTCGACCCCTCTGATGTCAAAAACTACAGACCTGTATTCCTTCTTTCTTTTCTTTCCAAAACACTTGAGCGTGCTGTCTCTGACCAACTCTCTCGCTATCTCCCTCAGAACGATCTTCTTGACCCTAACCATTCAAGCTTCAAGACGGGTCAATCAACCGAGACTGCTCTTCTCTGTGTCACGGAGGCTCTCCACACTACCAAAGCTAAATCTCTATCCTCTGTTCTCATCCTCCTAGATCTATCTGCTGCATTCGACACCGTGAACCATCAGATCCTCCTCTCCACCCTCTCAGGGCTGGGCGTCTCAGGCTCTGCACACTCTTGGATTGCATCCTACCTGCCAGGCCGCTCCTACCAGGTGACGTGGAGAGGATCTGTGTCTGCACCACGCACTCTCACTACTGGTGTCCCCCAGGGCTCGGTTCTAGGCCCTCTCCTCTTCTCTCAGCTTGGGTGTCGGTCCACCACCTCAAGCTCAACAAGACGGAGCTGCTCTTCCTCCCGGGGAAGGCCTGCCCGCTCCCAACTCCTCTCCATCCCGGTTGACAACTCCACGGAGTCCCCCTCCCAAAGTGCAAAGAACCTTGGCGTGACCCTGGACAACACCCTGTCGTTCTCTGCAAACATCAAAGCAGTGACTAGCTCCTGCAGGTTCATGCTCTACAACATCCGTATGACCCTACCTCACACAGAAAGCAGCGCAGGTCCTAATCTTGTCATCTCCCGTCTGGACTACTGCAACTCACTGTTGGCTAGGCATCCCGCTTGTGCCATCAAACCCCTGCAACTTATCCAGAATACTGCAGCCCGCCTGGTGTTCAACCTTCCCAAGTTCTCCCATGTCACCCTGCTCCTCTGCACACTCCACTGGCTTCCAGTCAAAGCTCATATCCACTATAAGACCATGGTACTTGCCTACAGAGCAGCAAGAGGAACTGCCCCTCCCCACCTTCAGGCTATGCTCAAACCCCACACCCCAACCCAAGTACTCCGTTCTGCCAACTCTAGTGTCTTGGCCCTCCCACCCCTACGGGAGGGCAGCTCCCGCTCAGCCCAGTCAAAGCTCTTTTCTGTCCTGACACCCCAATGGTGGAACCAGCGTCCCCCTGAAGCTAGGACAGCAGAGTCCCTGCCCATCTTCCGAAAACAATTTAAACCCTACCACTTCAAAGAGTATCATACTATAAATAATTCCACAGCACCCCACTCGCACCCCGTCCTAAAAATGATTTGCCTTTTGTGAAACAACACTCGCACTTCACTGCTGTAGATCAGCTTTAATATTGCAGATATATTGTGGCTTCTATCAATGTAATTGTCTGCATAATTTCCAATCCTTGGGGTCATATGTTAACATAATGTGTAATATAGCCAATTAAACACATCCATGTTTCAAGTGAGAATTAAGCAGGTCTGATGCAGAAAAAAGAAAGGAAATGACTTCACCCGTATTCTATTTTATTTTTAGAAAGTACTGCGTAGTTCCCGTAGTTACACCGCCACATGATAAAAAGTAATTAACTGCTGAAAACACTACATAGATTTGAATTTAGTTCAACTACCACCAAGCTACTGCAAAATATAGTTAAATGACTAGTTGAACTACATGTAGTTCACTTCTCCCCAACACTGTCTCTTTCTACCCTCCTCTCTCACTTTTCCTTATTTGAGATTGTGTGTGTGTGTGCTGTGATTGGTCAGTAAGTGTTCTGTGAGTCCATAGTACACCCGTCTCCACGGCAGTCACTCACACCTGCCTAACCCCTCTGTCGTGTGTGTGTGTGTGTGTGAACAGATGGATGGTGTGTTATCTAAAACACACTGATCTCAGCCTGTTTAGCTGCTCCACTTTCTCACTTAGTCTCTCAAACACACACACACGCACGCACGCACGCACGCACGCACGCACGCACGCACGCACGCACGCACGCACGCAACGCACGCGCACGCACGCCCACGCACGCACGCACGCAACGCACGCACGCACGATAGTTAGGCCCAACACACACACACACAACACCACACACACACACACACACACACACACACGGACACACTGTAACCACCTCTGCATCACAACCTAGAGAGACAGAGAAAGTGAGAGAGTAGGAGGGGAGTGGAGGTGGTTCTCTTGTCTCATAAGGCTAATTCTGTCCAAGGGACAGGGAGAGATGGAGGGAGGGAGGGAGGTAAAACGATGGGGTTGGAGGATATATATATATCTTCAAATTCTGTTCTTTGGTTTAGTGCCCACGCAGAAAGACATAAAGCGAGGTAGAGGAGGGAGAAAGATGGGGAGTGAGAAAGATACTGTACTTTTAGGAATGGTCTCATGATCTCTTGTGCCCAATCCCCAGTCAGACCCTAGCCTATACCCCAACCCCCTACCACTGACCCCTATTTAATGCTCTCTGTCTGTCTGTTAGCCTCAGCAGCCAAAGAGAATGAGGAGCGTGTGTTCCGAGAGCGGATTGGTCCTCGGCGGCGGCAGGGGGCCGTCCGGAGGCGTGTCCACCAGGTTAACGGACACAAGTTCATGGCCACGTATCTACGGCAACCGACCTACTGCTCACACTGCCGAGACTTCATCTGGTGAGAAACACACACACACGTCAGCCTCAAACCTCCACCCTCTGTCCACTGTCCCATCCTAGGGCTCCCTCTGCTGGCGAGACCCAGATAAAGCGGCTCATAAATCAGCTCCAATAATTATTATATTATAATTGTCCCTGTTTTCTCTATAAATCTCTATCTGACTTTCTCTCTTCCTCTTTTTCTCCCTTTCTTTCTCTTTTGCTTTAATAGGGGAGTGCTGGGAAAGCAGGGTTATCAATGCCAGGGTGAGAACAAGTTGTCTCAGTATGAAAATGTATGACCTCACTAACTGTAAGTCGCTCTGGATAAGAGCGTCTGCTAAATGACTAAAATGTAAATGTAAAATGTCTCTCTTTCTGTCTGGGTTCTTGAATGATTCTGAAAGTTCTAGAGCAGTGGTTCTCAAACTTTTTATAGTCCCGTACCCCTTCAAACGTTCAACCTCCAGCTGTGTACCCCCTCTAGCACCAGGGTCAGCGCACTCTCAAATGTTGTTTTTTTGCCATCATTGTAAAGCCTGCCACACACACACTATACGATACATTTATTAAACATAAAAATGAGTGTGAGTTTTTGTCACAACCCGGCTCGTGGGAAGTGAAAAAGAGCTCTTATAGGACCAGGGCACAAATAATAATAATAATTTTAAAAAAATCTCTTTATTTAGCCATCTTACATATAAAACCTTATTCGTTCATCAAAGATTGTGAATAACTCACCACAGGTTAATGAATAGGGTGTTCTTGAAAGGATGCACATACCTCTGCAATGTTGGGTTGTATTGGTAGAGAGTCTCAGTCTTAAATAATTTTCCACACACAGTCTGTGCCTGTATTTAGTTTTCATGCTAGTGAGGGCCGAGAATCCACTCTCACATACTGTAGGTACGTGGTTGCAAAGGGCATTAGCAACAAATGCAGAATTACTGATGCTAGCATTGGATGTGCCGGTGGAAGCAGAACAACTTGTGTCGTCGACAGTTACAGGTATAGTACTGCTGGTAGTAGTAGTATACCAGTAGAGCTGGTATGTGTCTCTATGGATGCGGGCCTTACTTATTTTTAACCATTTATCAATTTTCAAGCAAACGGAATGAGCAGCAGCTACGTTTGGCCACATAGTGGAATTCCCGCGAGAGAGCAACTGTTAATGTGATTGGATGTTAATTATTTGACTAGGCTACCTGTATTTACCTGACATTGTGTTGTTATTTCTCTGAACACTAGATGGTTTAATTTCATTTTTGGCAGTGAAACGAGGCTACTCAGGCGAGAAAAAAACATCACCCAAATATATAGCCTCATTGTCAAATCTAAATGGACTGTTTGAAAAAAAGATTTGGGCGTAGCCCCAACGGCATTGCGCGTACCCCTGGGGCTACCCCAGTTTGGGAATAGCCGTTCTAGAGTGATACATTAACATTCTAGAATGAATTGAGACATTGTCTGTCTGTTGTATTATTATCGTGTGTTGTTCAGTGTGGAAGTGTGTAATTGTGTGTGTGTTTATTGCAGTGTGCACGTGTGTGGTCCATAAGCGCTGCCATGAGCACATTATCACCAAGTGTGCCGGGATGAAGAAGCAGGAGGATACACCAGAGGAGGTATTGCGGACTGTTTAATGGTGGCTATGTTGACCAATGAGTTACCGCAATGTGTTTTGGTTTGGAACCCAGATGCGTTGCAATCTTTGCTCTCCTCTCTCCCACTACTCTCTCCTCTTCTATCCTATCATCTCTTCCTTCTGATAAATCCTTCTTAATCCTGACTCCTGATTCTGCCTCTTCGACCCTACTCTCCTCCCTTTCCTCATCCTATGACTCACACTGTCCCCTCTCCTCCCGGCCGGCTCGGCCCTCCCCTCCTGCTCCTTGGCTGAGAAACTCATTGCGAGCTTACAGAACAGGGCTGCAGGCAATTGCCAAACTCTCTCTATTATAGACTATATGGTATATTATTATATTTGGGCTGTATTTCTCTGTGCTCTGTTAGCTGTTATAAGAGAGATGTTCCCATGTAGATATAGATTCACATCAACAAACAGTCACCAATTCTCCCTCCCTCCTTTCCTCCCTCCTTCCCTCCTCCCCTCCTACTCCCTCTCTCCAGGTTGGTGCCCAGAGGTTTAGTGTCAACATGCCTCATAAGTTCAGAAACCACAACTACAAGGCCCCTACCTTCTGTGACCACTGTGGATCTCTACTATGGGGACTGATGAGGCAGGGCCTGCAATGCAAGGGTATGTGTGTGTGTGTATGTGTTCACTTTGATAATGAAGGTGGTTATGTTTTCATAGGTCAGATAAAACAGATCCACTGATGTGTGTGTGTGTGTGTGTGTAGCATCTTTCAACACACACTGTGTGTGTGTTTGTGTGGTAGTGTGTAAGATGAGTGTTCATTGTGAACAGATGGTGTGAGAATAATGTAGGTGCTAATTATGGTGTGTGTGTGTTTAGTGTGTAAGATGAATGTCCACAAGAGGTGTGAGGCCAACGTAGCTCCCAACTGCGGTGTGGACGCCAAAGGCATTGCCAAAGTCCTGGCTGAAATGGGAGTCACTCCTGACAAGATTTCCACTACTGCACAGCGCAGGAAAAAGGTACACACACATACAAGCAAGCTTTTCTGTCCTTATTGGGACCTAACATTTATTTCCATTCAATATCCTGTTTTCCCTAAAAACCTAACGTAAACCCCTATTCCTAACCCTAACCCTAATTCTAACCCTTAACCTAAACCTAACCCCTATGCTTAAAATAGCCTTTGTCCTCATGGGGATGTGGGAAATGTCCCCACGAGGGAGAATTTTCCTTGTTTTACTATCCTTGTGGGGACTTTTGGGGATTTCAGGTCCCCACAAGGATAGAAGAACCAGTACACACACACACACACACACTGATGATGGGGATATGATGGCTCTCTTTCCTCTCTCTCTCTCTAGTTACCACCAGGGGTAGACTCCCAGTCACCTTCAGAACTCTCAGACGAGCTTCCCCCCACATCCCCCTCACAGCACGGTAACACACACATGGTCACAGACACACGCTCACACACATGGTCACAGACACACCCGAAGTCACACAGTTGTCTGACTTTCTTTATGTGCGTGTGTGCAGAACTGGCTGAGTTGGAGCGGCTACAACGGGGGATGTCGTTAGAGATGCGAGGTTCTTCCTCCTCGTCCTCCGGTTCCTCCTCTACCTTGCGGGACAACGGAGCAGCGAAGAGGACTCTCAAAGACTTCAGCTTCATCAAGGTCCTGGGAAAAGGAAGCTTTGGAAAGGTAAGGAGAAGGAGGGAGGAGAAGGAGGGAGGAGAGGAGGAGGGAGGAGGGAGGAGGAGGGGGAGAGAGGAGGAGGAGGAGAAAAAGGGAGGAGGAGGAGGAAAGGGAGTAGGGAGGAGGAGGAGAAGGAGGAGGAAAAGGAGGGAGGAGGGGGAGGAGAGTAAGGAGGGAGGAGGAGAAGGAGGGAGGAGGAGGACAGAAGGAGGGAGGAGGACAGAAGGAGGGAGGAGGAGGATGAAGGAGAGGAGGATAAGGAGGCTGGAGGAGAAGGATGGGAGGAGGAGGAGGATTCAGGACTGGGAGAGGAGGGAGGAGGAGAGGGAGTGGTGAGTCGGAGAGGGGAGTGAGGGAGGAGGAGGAGGACAGAAGCGAGACGAGGAGGGAGGAGGTAGGGTGAGGAGGCGAGGAGGAGGACGAAGGAGGAGAGGAGGGGACAGAGGGAAGGAGTGAGGAGGGGGAGGAGTAGTCGAGCGAGAGGAGAGTGAGGGGAGAGCGACGGAGAGTAGGGAGGAGGGGAGAAACGATGGTCGGGGAGGTAAAGGAGAGAAGAAGGAGGGAGAGGAGAGAAGGAGGTGGGGAGGACGGAGACGGGGTAGGGGAGGGGGAGGAGAAGGAGGAGGAGAGGAGAAGGAGGGAGGAGAGGAGAAGGGAGTGAGGAGGGAGGAGGGCGAGGGGAAAGAGCTGATGGTCGTGAGGAAGTGTAAAGTATCTGTCTCTGTCGCTCTATTTTTGTCTCTCTCTACCTCTCCCCCCCCCTCTCCCTCCCTCAGGTGATGTTAGCAGAGCTGAAAGGCAGTGAGGAGGTGTTTGCAGTGAAGGTGTTGAAGAAGGATGTGATCCAGCAGGATGATGATGTGGACTGCACCCTGACAGAGAAAACGCATCCTGGCCCTGGGCTCGTACACACCCCTACCTCTGCCAGCTCTACTGCTGCTTCCAGACCCGGGTACACACACACACACCACACACACACACACACACACACACACACACACACACACACACACACAGAGCGACACACCAACCGTCTCCTCTCCTCTCCAGGACCGTCTGTTCTTTGTGATGGAGTATGTGAACGGAGGAGACCTGATGTTTCAGATCCAACGCTCCAGGAAGTTTGACGAGGCTCGCTCTTGCTTCTATGCTGCTGAAGTCACCTCTGCACTCATGTTCCTGCACCGCAACGGGGTTATATACAGGTAACCTCTGGCCCCTAACCTCTGCACTCATGTTCCTGCACCGCAACGGGGTCATATACAGGTAACCTCTGACCCCTAACCTCCGCACTCATGTTCCTGCACCGCAACGGGGTCAAATACAGGTAACCTCTGGCCCCTAACCTCTGCACTCATGTTCCTGCACCGCAACGGGGTCAAATACAGGTAACCTCTGCCATCTAACCACAGCCCACATGTTCCAGCACCACATAAGAATGATATAGTGCTAACTGCTTTCATTGAGCCAGTGTTACAGGTAACCATGTCTCTCTCTCTCTCAATTTCAATTTCAATTTAAGGGACTTTATTGGCATGGGAAACATATGTTTACATTGCCAAAGCAAGTGAAATAGATAATAAACAAAAGTGAAATAAACAATAAAAAATTAACATTAAACATTACACTCAGAAAAGTTCCAAAAGAATAAAGACATTTCAAATGTCATATTATGTATATATACAGTGTTGTAATGATGTGCAAATAGTTAAAGTACAAAAGGGAAAATAAGGTGCTTGTTCTTCACTGGTTGCCCTTTTCTTGTGGCAACAGGTCACAAATCTTGCTGCTGTGATGGCACACTGTGGTATTGGGAGTTTATCAAAATTGGATTTGTTTTCGAATTCTTTGTGGGTTAGGAAGTGCAGCTCAGTTTCCACCTCATTTTGTGGTCAGTGTGCTCATAGCCTGTCTTCTCTTGAGAGCCAGGTCTGCCTTCAGCGGCCTTTCTCAATAGCAATGCTCACTGAGTCTGTACATAGTCAAAGATTTCCTTAATTTAGGGTCAGTCACAGTGGTCAGGTAATCTGTGTACTCTCTGTTTAGGGCCAAATAGCATTCTAGTTTGATCTGTTTTTTGTAAATTCTTTCCAATGTGTCAAGTAATTATCTTTTTGTTTTCTTATGATATGGTTGGGTCTAATTGTGTTTCTGTCCTGGGGCTCTGTGGGGTCTGTTTGTTTTTGTGAACAGAGCCCCAGGACCAGTTTGCTTAGGGGGAGCTTCTCCAGGTTAATTTCTCTGTAGGTGATGGCTTTGTTATGGAAGGTTTGGGAATCTCTTCCTTTTAGGTGGTTGTAGAATTTAACGGCTGTTTTCTGGATTTTGATAATTAGCGGGTATCGGCCTAATTTTGCTCTGTATGCATTATTTGGTGTTTTACGTTGCACACTGAGGATATTTATCTGCATGTCGAATTTTATGTTCCTTTTGATGGCATAGAAGGCCCTTCTTGCCTTCTCTCTCTCTCTCTCTCTCTCTCTCTCTCTCTCTCTCTCTCTCTCTCTCTCTCTCTCTCTCTCTCCCCCCCCCCCCCCCCCTCTCTCTCTCTCTCTCAGGGATCTAAAGTTAGATAACATATTGTTGGATGCAGAGGGCCACTGTAAGCTGGCAGACTTTGGCATGTGTAAGGAGGGCATCATCAACGGAGTTACCACCACCACATTCTGTGGCACGCCCGACTACATAGCGCCTGAGGTGAGCTTTTTATTTTTATTTTTATTTAACCTTTATTTAACCAGGTAAGCCAGTTGAGAACAAGTTCTCATTTACAACTGCGACCTGGCCAAGATAAAGCAAAGCAGTGCGATTAAAAACAACAACACAGAGTTACATATGGGGTAAAACAAAACATAAAGTCAAAAATACAACAGAAAATATATATACAGTGTGTGCAAATGTACCAAGTTATGGAGGTAAGGCAATAAATAGGCTATTGTGCAAAATAATTACAATTAGTATTAACACTGGAATGATAGATGTGCAAGAGATTATGTGCAAATAGAGATACTGGGGTGCAAATGAGCAAAATAAATAACAATATGGGGATGAGGTAGTTGGGAGGGCTAATTTCATATGGGCTGTGTACAGGTGCAGTGATCGGTAAGGTGCTCTGACAACTGATGCTTAAAGTTAGTGAGGGAGATAAGAGTCTCCAGCTTCAGAGATTTTTGCAATTCGTTCCAGTCATTGGCAGCAGAGAACTGGAAGGAATGGCGGCCAAAGGAGGTGTTGGCTTTGGGGATGACCAGTGAGAGATACCTGCTGGAGCGCAGACCACGGGTGGGTGTTGCTATGGTGACCAATGAGCTAAGATAAGGCGGGGATTTGCCTAGCAGTGATTTATAGATGGCCTGGAGCCAGTGGGTTTGGCGACAAATATGTAGTGAGGACCAGCCAACAAGAGCGTACAGGTCACAGTGGTGGGTAGTTGTCACGCCCTGGCTCTGGGACTCTGTTATGTTGAGCCAGGGTGTGTTGTTTCTATGTGTTTTGTGTGCTAGGGTGATTTTCTAGTTCATTTGTTTCTGTGTTGGCCGGTGTGGTTCTCAATCAGAGGCAACGTGTATCAGCTGTTGCTTGTTGTCTCTGATTGGGAACCATACTTAGGCAGCCTGTTTCCCACAGTGTGTTGTGGGATCTTGTTCCGTATGGTTTGTATTGTAACCAAGGGACTTCACGTTTCGTATCGTTTGTTTGTTTTGTTCGTGTGGTGTTCTCTAAAAAATAAAGTATGTTCGCATTCCACGCTGCGCCTTGGTCCTCTGTGTTCGACGATCGTGACAGTAGTATATGGGGATTTGGTGACAAAACGGATGGCACTGTGATAGACTACATCCAATTTGCTGAGTAGAGTGTTGGAGGCTATTTTGTAAATGACATCGCCGAAGTCAAGGATCGGTAGGATAGTCTGTTTTACGAGGGCCTGTTTGGCAGCATGAGTGAAGGAGGCTTTGTTGCGAAATAGGAAGCCAATTCTAGATTTAACTTTGGATTGGAGATTCTTAATGTGAGTCTGGAAGGAGAGTTTACAGTCTAACCAGACACCTAGGTATTTGTAGTTGTCCACATACTCTAGGTCAGACCCGTCGAGAGTAGTGATTCTAGTCGGGTGGGCGGGTGCCAGCAGCGTTCGATTGAAGAGCATGCATTTAGCTTTACTAGTGTTTAAGAGCAGTTGGAGGCTACTGAAGGAGTGTTGTATGGCATTGAAGCTCGTTTGGAGGTTTGTTAACACAGTGTCCAATGAAGGGCCAGATGTATACAAAATCGTGTCGTCTGTGTAGAGGTGGATCTGAGAGTCACCAGCAGCAAGAGCAACATCATTGATATACACAGAGAAAAGAGTCGGCCCAATAATTGAACCCTGTGGCACCCCCATAGAGACTGCCATAGGTCCAGACAACAGGCCCTCCGATTTGACACATTGAACTCTATCTGAGAAGTAGTTGGTGAACCAGGCGAGGCAGTCATTTGAGAAACCAAGGCTATTTAGTCTGCCAATAAGAATGCGGTGGTTGACGGAGTCGAAAGCCTTGGCCAGGTCAATGAAGACGGCTGCACAGTACTGTCTATTATCGATCGCGGTTATAATATTGTTTAGGACCTTGAGCGTGGCTGAGGTGCACCCATGACCAGCTCGGAAACCGGATTGCATAGCGGAGAAGGTACGGTGGGATTCGAAATGGTCGGTGATCTGTTTGTTAACTTGGCTTTCAAAAACTTTCGAAACGCAGGGCAGGATGGATTTAGGTCTGTAACAGTTTGGATCTAGAGTGTCACCCCCTTTGAAGAGGGGGATGACCGCAGCAGCTTTCCAATCTCTGGGGATCTCAGACGTTACGAAAGAGAGGTTGAACAGGCTAGTAATAGGGGTTGCGACAATTTCAGCGGCTAGTTTTAGAAAGAAAGGGTCCAGATTGTCTAGCCCAGATGATTTGTAGGGGTCCAGATTTTGCAGCTCTTTCAGAACATCAGCTGTCTGAATTTGTGTGAAGGAGAAGCGGGGGGGGGGGGGGGGGCATGGGCAAGTTGCAGCGGAGGGTGCAGAGCTGGTGGCCGGGGTAGTGGTATCCAGGTGGAAAGCATGGCCAGCCGTAGCAAAATGCTTGTTGAAATTCTCGATTATTGTAGATTTATCGGTGGTGATAGTGTTTCCTAGCCTCAGTGCAGTGGGCAGCTGGGAGGAGGTGCTCTTATTCTCCATGGACTTTACAGTGTCCCAAAACTTTTTGGAGTTAGTGCTACAGGATGCAAATTTCTGTTTGAAAAAGCTAGCCTTTGCTTTCCTAACTGCTTGTGTATATTGGTTCCTGACTTCCCTGAAAAGTTGCATATCGCGGGGGCTATTTGATGCTAATGCAGCACACCACAGGATGTTTTTGTGCTGGTCAAGGGAGGGCAGTCAAGTCTGAGGAGAAACAGGGGCTATAGCTGTTCTTAGTTCTGTATTAGTTCTTAGGGTCTGTAGAAAGCGACAACAGTGAGAGACTTATTTCTGGAAAGGTGGATTTTTAGAAGTAGAAGCTCAAACTGTTTGGGCACAGACCTGGATAGTATGATAGAGCTCTGCAGGCTATCTCTACAGTAGATTGCAACTCCACCCCCTTTGGCAGTTCTATCTAGATGGAAAATGATTGTAGTTGGGGATGGACATTTCCGAATTTTTGGTGGCCTTCCTAAGCCAGGATTCAGACACTGCTAGAACATCAGGGTTGGCGGAGTGTGCTAACGCAGTGAATAACTCAAACTTAGGAAGTAGACTTCTGATGTTAACGTGCAGAAAACCAAGGCTTTTACGGTTACAGAAATCAACAAATGATAGCTCCTGGGGAGTAGGAGTGATTCTGGGGGCTGCAGGGCCTGGGTTAGCCTCTACATCACCAGAGGAACAGAGGAGGACTAGAATAAGGATACGGTTAAAGGCTTTAAAAACTGGTCTTCTAGTGCGTTGGGTACAGAGAATAAAGGGGGCAGATTTCCGGGCGTTGTAGAAAAGATTCAGGGCATTATGTACAGACAAGGATATGGAAGGATATGAGTACAGTGGAGGTAAACCTAAGCGTTGGGTAACAATGAAAGAGATAGCATTACTGGAGGCACCGATTGAGCCGTCTCGGCGTGTATGGGGGGTGGAACAAAGGAACTATTTGAGGCAGTTTGAGAGGGACTTGGGGTTCAACAGTGAAATTGTATAATAAGAACTAACCCAAACAGCAATAGGCTAGGCATATTGACATGGGAGAGAGGCATAATGCAATCACAGGTGTTATTAGAGAGAGCTAAGACAACAACTGGTAATGGCGATAAAGTTTGGGCTGAGGCTAAACAGAATAAACAGGACAGGGTACCGTATAAAGGAACAGTCCAGCAGGCATCAGCTGTGCAGCTGAGTGATCATAAGGTCCAGTGAACAGCAATATGTGAGTCCAAGAGCAGTTGAAATTGTAGTTGAAGTTGTAGTATGTGTGTGCTAGCGGGCCGGGGCTAGTAGATGGATCTTCGTGGTCGTCGCAACGGGAAGCCTGTTGAAACCACAGACGATTACGTCGGCAGACCAGTCGTGATGGATCGGCAGGGCTCCGTGTGGACTCTAGGAGGTCCCGTCCGGTTGACAGAGAGGTAGATAGCCAGGAGATGTGCTTGACTCAAGGCTAGCTCAAGGCTGATTAGCCAACAACAACGTTCATATGGTTGCAGCTAGCTAGTTGCGATTATCCAGTCCAGTGATTCAGTGATTCCGGCAGAAAATCCGATAGGTTCTGGGTCGATAAGTCGCTGTGCAGACAGTGCAGACTGGCCGATAATAGTCCAGACTAGAGCTGGCTGGTAGGTAGTGCAGGCCACGGACAATGGAGAAAAAGCCGCTAACGGTGGCTAATAGCAAGTAGCTAGTTAGCTGGTTAGCTGGCTACTCCCGTCCGGTAGACAGAGAGGTAGATAGCCGGGGCTAGCTCAAGGCTCAAGGCTAACTGGTGCTACGGGGGCAGTGGTGATTAGCCTACAGCAACATCCATTCGACATCCATTCGGTTGCGGCTAGCTAGATCCTGTGTTAAGGTCCAGTGATTCAGTTATTCCGGCAGAAAATCCAATGTTCTTGGTGAAAACCGCTAACGGTGGCTAATAGCAAGTAGCTAGTTAGCTAGTTAGCTGTCTGGCTAGTTTCAACTGGAGATAAAGGTGAGTAAATAATAGAATCCGTTCCACATTGAGTGAGGCGGGTTGCAGGAAAGTATATTTAGTAGAAGGATGAAAAGTGTGATAGGGAAATATATACGTAAAATAAAAAAAATAAAAAAACAACTGGCTATTTACATGGACACACAAGAGAACACGACCGCACTGCTACGCTATCTTGGAGCTGAGCCGGTATTATGCTAATTTCTGTCCCCTAAGGCATATCTAAACTGTCCCTCGTCTCTGACGTGTGATGGCAGTGTTTTTAGATCCTTGAATGATAACGTGTATGTGTAGATCCTACAGGAACTGGAGTATGGACCATCAGTGGACTGGTGGGCTCTGGGTGTGTTAATGTATGAGATGTTGGCTGGCCAGCCTCCATTTGAAGCAGACAATGAAGACGACCTGTTTGAGTCTATCCTCCATGATGATGTCCTCTACCCCGTCTGGCTCAGCAAGGAGGCTGTATCCATCCTCAGAGCTGTACGTACCATCACTCCATCATTGTACACCTTTATCTCATCCATCCATCCATCCCTCATATCTGTGTACTGATCTTTCTTTCTTTCTTTCTCTAATGTCTTTGTGTCTGTACTGATGTCTCTCTCTCTCTCTCTCACTGATGTCTCTCTCTCTCCCTCTGTGTGTGTGTGTGTGTGTGTGTGTGTGTGTGTGTATAGTTTATGACTAAGAACCCAGGCCAGAGGTTAGGGTGTGTGTTGTCTCAGGGTTGTGAGGAGGCCATTAAGAAACACTCGTTCTTCAAAGACATCGACTGGACGCTGCTGGAGCTGAGACGACTCAAACCCCCCTTCAAACCACGCATTGTAAGTCACACACCCACGCACACACAAACACGTGTCTCCTGGTTGACTCCGCCTTCTCACTCTCTCTCCCACTGTCTCTCTCTCCTCTCCTTCTTTCTATGTAGAAGACAAGGCGTGATGTGAATAACTTTGACCAGGACTTCACCAGAGAAGACCCAGTGTTAACTCCCACTGACGAGGCTGTTATCAGACAGATAAACCAGGAGGACTTTAAAGGTTTCTCTTTCTGTGCAGAGACACAGATCTGAGAACGTAGATGCCCTCTAGGGTTTAGATGTGTGTGTGTGTGTATAAAACCTGTGTTGATTGTTTACGAAGTGTTGTGTCCGTAGAGGAGTCTTGACACGTGGACCGGTGCTACTGGTTACAATTATTACTGCTGCCTGCAAAAAATAAATAAATAAAAACATTTGTCAAATACCTGTGTGTTGTGCTTTATTTGGTTTTTCTGGTACAATGGAACCAATGGAATAGTCCAAAAAGTGCAAACTCCAAGGTAAATGAAGTGCATTGGCTGGATATGTATTGTATTTGTTTAATATTGTTTTGGTTTGTACTGCTTTTTTTTCATTTGCGTCGGCGTCCCATTGGCTCATTTCAACTACCTTCACCAATCAGACGAGTAGTCCTCAACGTAGTACAGACCACCTCACTCTCATTCCCTATATCTGTCCTGTGTGAGTCTCTATCTGTGTACGGCGTGTGTTATGTGTTTGGCTTTGAGACTGACATGATGTCCCTGTCACTTTTGTTTCCATAGTAACCACCATCACCCCAACCCCCTTCCTCCCAGAAGCCATCTCATTCAGCCAAAAACACTTTTAGTGTTTCTGCCTCTGCTTTTCTATCCGTTTCCTTTTATGTTCTGTTTTGTAATCGTACCCTTCCCTATATAGTACACTACTTTATGTACACACACACGCACACACGCGCACGCACGCACGCGCACGCACACACACAAAGAGCGACTTACAGTTAGTGAGTGCATACATTTTTTCATACTGGCCCCCCATGGGAAACGAACCCACAACCCTGGCGTTGCAAGCGCCATGCTCTACCAACTGAGCTACAGGGGACTGTATAGTGTACAGTGTTAAGGCTCTGTCGTAGCCGGCCGCGACCGGGAGACCCATGGGGCGGCGCACAATTGGCCCAGCGTCGTCCAGGGTAGGGGAGGGAATGGCCAGCAGGGATGTAGCTCAGTTGGTAGAGCATGGTGTTTGCAACGCCAGGGTTGTGGGTTCGTTTCCCATGGGGGGCCAGTATGAAAAAATAAAAATAATAATGTATGCACTCACTAACTGTAAGTCACTCTGGATAAGAGCGTCTGCTAAATGACTAAAATGTAAATGTAAGGCTAGAATCCTTAGTTGCTACATCCATTTCTGGACTTATAAATTAATGATATATACCCATTGATTCTTGAAGAATATAACTTATAAATGCCTCATGAGCTTAGGTCAACTGTCGTACCCCATCAGAACCCAAAATATAAACTTGTTTTACTCCAATGTTTGTAAACAAAAACAAAATATTTTTGCTTTATTTAACTAGGCAAGTCAGTTAAGAACAAATTCTTATTTACAATGACGGCCTACACCGGCCAAACCCGGACGACGCTGGGTCAATTGTGCGCCGCCCTATGGGACTCCCAATCACGGCCTGAAACTTTCCGAATGCACCGTATTATAGCTCTGAGTGCATGTGAGGACATGAAGACTCCCATGTTGTAACAAGACATGGTTCAGTGTGATGAAATGACTGTGTCAGCATGCAGACACCAACCAAACATCAAACCACAGAAAGACAGCATCCTGTTTTGATGTGCAGCACGCCACAAAGCAGATCACACAGGAAACTGGTTCTTCACTAACTGACACAATGGCACCACAGGACAGATTTATATAAGATAGAAAAGAAAGGATTACTAATAGAGAGAGAGAGAGAGAGAGAGACAGCAAAGGAGAGGGAAATGCAGTGATGGACATTTTGGAAGCTAGATTGAGAAATGGTTATCTTTTGGCAGATGACCTCTGTCTATAGATACACAAAGTTCAAATGTTTAACATGTCCATGTCTGAGGAAGGATTCTGGAGTCTTTCTGTAACTTTCTGAGATGGCAACACCTGCTCCTGTCCTGGATCTGCTACTGGCTGCTCTGGAGGAGCTGGTCGAAAAAGACATGAAGACATTTCACTGGTACCTGTCTCAGAGTGTACCAGATGGCTTTCCTCTCATCCCCAAGGGTCACCTGGAGAAAGCTGACAGGCAGGACACTGTGGATAAGATGGTGAACACCTACGGCCATGATGGAGCTATAAAGATCTCACTGGAAATCCTGAGGAAGATGAACCAGAAGGATCTCACCAAGACGTTAACGGCAGATCACCAAGGTTGATGTACCATATTCACACCTACACTGCTTAGTATTGCTTGAGAAAACAAATGCACTGAAATAAATCTGTCTTGGAGTTGACAGAAAACTATATAAAATAGTATGTATAAAATATTTAAATTTTTTCTCTCAAATTTTCACTCTATCTCTATATGTAGAGGCTGAGGTTGAGGTAGCAGCTGCCTCAATTCCAGTTCCTGCCTCTCCCGTCTACTTCACTTGTACAGCTCAGACTGGCGGCCATGTTGTGGCCCCTTCGCTCTCCGGCTGCCATATTGGTGGTCCAGTTCACTTCAACATCAGAGTCAACTCATTAGACGACGGTAAGTCGCCTACATAATACACACGGGAGGGAATGTTGGAGCTCTCAAAATTGATGAAGAAATCACCTTTGTGTAAATGTGTAAAACTACTCTCTGTCTCCCCCCCCCCAGAGCCCATAGTTCCATCTCAAGCGTCACCTGCCCATTTTACCATGTTTCCACCTGAACCTGTAAATACTGAAGACAACGGTAATACTGATAGAAGGAGTGTATGGCAGTGTTACTGTAGATCTGTATAAAGAAGGTTGTTTGGCAGTGGTAAGAACAGGGAAACGCTTTGGAACTTAAGTTTTTTTTTTTTTTTTTATTTATTTTTTATTTCACCTTTATTTAACCAGGTAAGCCAGTTGAGAACAGGTTCTCATTTACAACTGCGACCTGGCCAAGATAAAGCAAAGTAGTGCAATAAAAACAACACAGAGTTACATATGGGGTAAAAAAATAAAAAAAAATAAAAGAAAAAGAAAAAACATAAAGTCAGAAATACAACAGATTTTGTTTTGGTAAGAAGAACCACAACATGGCAGCGTTGTCCAGTAACCTGTAGTTTACAGAGATTAAGATTAAACAACCATTAGCCTTCATTATTATACTGCAGTCTTTAAACAGTTTCAGTTTGAGTGTAATATTTACAGGATAATCCACAGAACTGTCTATTTTACTTTCACAGGAACCTTTGTATACCGTGTTTTTCCCTTGTTTATTTTACCAGATGAACGAATCAAGAGTTGTCAAAGTAAACTCAAACGCAATCTGCGTAGTAGGTTCTTCAGTGTGTTTGAGGGACTGGCCAGCCACGGGAACAGACAACTTCTCAACAAGATCTACACAGAGCTCTACATCACAGAGGCTGGAAATACAGAGGTCAATAATGAACATGAGGTGAGACAGATTGAGACAACATCCAGAAGAACAGCAACACAAGAAACACCAATCAAATGCAACGACATCTTTCAGCCCTTACTTGGGCAAGATCAATCCATCAGAACTGTGGTGACGAAGGGAGTCGCTGGCATTGGGAAAACCGTCTCAGTGCAGAAGTTCATTCTGGACTGGGCAGATGGAAAAGCCAATCAAGATCTCCAGTTGATATTTCCTATTTCTTTTCGAGAGCTGAATTTGATGAGAAAGAAAATATGTAGTTTGATCGAACTTCTCAATGGCTTTTTTACGGAAACAAAAGAAACTGAAATATCAAACTACAACAATTATCAGGTGCTGTTTGTCTTTGATGGTCTGGATGAGTGTCGACTTCCTCTAGACTTCCAGAACAATGACATGCTGTTTGAATTAACCGAGTCAACCTCAGTGGATGTGCTGCTAACAAACCTCATCAAGGGGAATCTGCTTCCCTCTGCTCAACTTTGGATAACCACCAGACCTGCAGCAGCCAATCAAATCCCTCCTGAGTGTGTTGACCAGGTGACAGAGGTACGAGGGTTCAATGACCCACAGAAGGAAGAGTACTTCAGGAATAGAATCAGCGATGAGAACCTGGCCAGCAGAATCATCACACACATAAAGACATCAAGGAGCCTCTACATCATGTGCCACATACCCATTTTCTGTTGGATCTCAGCCATTGTTCTGGAGAGGAAGCTGGGGAAAGCAGGGAGTGGAGAGATGCCAAAGACCCTGACTCAGATGTACTCACACTTCCTGGCTTTTCAGGAGAAAGACATCAGTCTCAGGCTTGAGGGAAGAGGAACACCTGACCCTGACTGGATGAGAAAGAACATCATGTCCCTGGGAAAACTGGCTTTCCAACAACTGGAGAAAGGCAACCTGATCTTCTATGAGGAAGACCTGAGAGAGTGTGGCATAAACATTGGTCAGGCATCAGTGTACTCAGGAGTGTGTACTGAGATTTTCAGTGAGGAACTGACCTTATGCCAGGGAAAGGTATTCTGCTTTGTTCATCTAAGCATTCAGGAGTTTATGGCTGCCCTGTATGTGTTTCTCACATTCATCAACGACAATGTGAATCTATTAGCCAAACAGCAATCATTTCTTAGACATTTTCCATTCGGAAATTCAACCACAACCAGCTTCTACAAAGCAGCAGTTGACAAGGCATTACAGAGTGAGAGTGGACACCTGGACCTGTTCCTCCGATTCCTTCTGGGCCTCTCACTGGAGTCCAATCAGATTCTCCTACGAGGCTTGCTAACTCAGAGAATAAGTAGATCACATACCAACAAGGAAACAGTCAAGTGCATCAAGGAGAAGATCAAGGCGAATCCTTCTCCAGAGAGATGCATCAATCTGTTCCACTGTCTGAATGAACTGCATGACCATTCTCTAGTGGAAGAGATCCAAAGCTACCTGAGCTCAGGAAGTCTCTCTAGGGCCAAACTCTCACCTGCACAGTGGTCAGCTCTGGTCTTCGTGTTGCTGACTTCAGAAGAGGAGCTGGATGAGTTTGAGCTGAAGAAATACTCCAGGTCAGAGGAGGGTCTTCTGAGACTGCTGCCGGTCGTCAAAGCCTCCAGAGCAGCCATGTGAGTACAACATCAGCAACAATAGCTCAGATCTCATCACCAGACACACATTCTTCTCACTCTTTCTGTTTAGTCAGGTAAAGAGTTGTGTTTATATATTCTATTTCCTAGACTGAATCGATGCAAACTCACAGAGAGATGCTGTGAAGCGTTGGCCGCAGCTCTCAGCTCAAACTCCTCACACCAGAGAGAGCT